CATGTAAAGGCCCTGTGTGATCCAATTTGTGGTGGGTTAAGTCTGGCCAGCAACTAAGCACCCACCAGCTCCTTGCTCACTCCCCTTCCCCAGCAGGACAGGGGAGAGAACTGGAAGACCAAAAGCAAGAAAAACTCACAGGTCAAGGTAAAGACAGTTTAATAAGTGAAGGGAAAAAAAACCAATCCAACAAATGATACAAAGGCAATCACTCACCACCCAATTTTTATTGCTCAGCATGATATATCACTGTGGTCAATTCGGGCCAGCTGTCCCAGCTGTGTCCCCTTCCTCACCTCTTGCTCACCTCCAGCCCACTTGCAGAAGGGGGACAGAGCAAGAAACAGAGGCGGCCCTGACACTGTGAAAGGCACTGTTCAGCAATAGCTGAAACATCGGTGCATTATCACACTGTTTCAGTCTGAAACAGCCTAAACCACAGCATTATATAAGCTGCTGTGAAGAAAATTACCTCCATCCCAGCCAGACACTACCACCATCACACAGCCACACATTTATTAGCTGTGGACTCAGAGACAAAAATGAAAAATCATGGCTTTTCAGAGCTAAACAAAGTTTTTCTTAGAAATCATTAAAAGCAAGTCTCAAGATGATAGCTTGATGCTTCCACATTTGTAGGCTTAATTTTTGCAGATAACTGCCATTATACTTACTAATATCATACTATGCATCAGAAAGAAAACTTCAAAGGGCCCTCCACATATAAACACTAGCTATCGGAATGAAAATAATTTTAAACTAATGCTAAATACTCAGTACGAATGACAAACAGAGCCAACAGGCTTGTCTTATGGGTATTTTTTTCAGGGAAAACAAGAAGTGTCCAACTCACCAACAAATCAAAAACTTCATTAACATCTTTTCCACGAATCTCAATGCCATTAATCTCCAGAACTTCGTCCCCTTCATGTAACAGCCCACTCTTCTCTGCAGCACCTCCTTTTACTATTCGACTAATGATAACAGAATCCATTTCATTGCGAACAGTAGCACCCTGTGTAGTAGCAACACATGCTGAATTTATTATATATATGAAACTCAAAGCCATCTATTGTATATATTCCAAGCCAGTGGAGAAACATTTCTGTATTGAAAGACGATGCAAGTAACAGCTCAGATGCATACACTCAACGCTCCAGTTTAAAAAAACCACCGCTTAATTTCTTTAAGCTGCACTAAAGATTGAAGAATTGAATTGCTCCATACTGTAAGATTCATGATTTTTTAAAAAAATGTTTTCCAAAGGAAAAACTTATTTGAAAGATGCAAAATAGATGAGAGTTGCTAAAAAAACCCCCCATGTGGTTGGCACAAGGCTATAAGCTGCCCTGCAGCAAAGCCTGGGACAGCGACTTCTGTCAAGGAATCCTGTCCAACCAAACCCAAGCTGACAGAGGTTGTACAGATTCTAAATGGTAATACAGCTAACTGCTATATGAAGATATGCACAAGTTTATTGTCTGTGACTATTTCTCATTTTGGAGGGACAGAGAGTGTTTACCAGTTAAACATGCCCTTCCACATTCAAATTCCAAAACGTTCATAGCAATCTTCACAGGACAAAAAAGCTTACCTTCTTTACGTGTAACTGACTGAATATCAGTACTTACCAATGGAATATCCCGAGCTTTCTCAATGCGAACTATTTTAACCGTCTCCCCTCCATACACGCCAATGTTTTCATAAATTTTTTCATCTGTCAGAGGCTCTGGTTGCATTTCTTGTTCTGCAACCTTATCATGAGCCAGTAAAAGTGCCTAGTGTTAAACAAAATCAGCTGAGTTACAGAAAATTTCACACTTTATATGTATACAAAATAGTAGTGTTCAAGGAAATTCTGCAATTTGAATAGTCTTTGCAGGTTACAGAATATTGCAAACTGACTCAAGCAATAAAAAAAATCATCTATCACAGCTATGTAGCCCCTACTGCTACCTACTTTCCAAAACTTTCCTTTCAGATTGAAGAAGAATAAAAAAAACAATTCTGAACACACAACTGTGACTGTACTTTCAGCTTCTCCTTCCTAAAAAAACAGACATTGGTTTACTATGTATGTGACTGAGGATACAGGCATAAGAAGTTACTGCAGTGAAAACTACTTGTGGATTTAACACTTCACCACAGGACAAAAATTCCTTTACACACACTATGGTAAGCATGAAACAGCTGTCAGAGAAAAAAGAACTACAGATAAGCAAAGCAGCTCATGTGTTGCCCTGACCCTAACGATCTACTGCTACAGTGTTTACATGCAAATTAACCTGTAATACATGTAGCAAGGGCTGAAAACAATCATGTAGTACACTTGATTAGAAGTTTCCATCAGTTGCTGGAAATTGGAAACTTCTCATCCTAGAAAAATACTAGATTTGCACAGAGCTGAAGAATAAAATCCATCCTTGCCCAGTCAGCCCAAAACATTTGCAAAAAAGTTATATTGAAAACAGCATCAAGAAATACATCCCATAGATTAGAAGTTCCATTTTGTTTTACCTGCATGTGAGGGGCATTCAGCAAAGCATTAAGCTCCTGCCCATCCTTATGGTGACTGGGTTTCAAAACACTCTGTACCTAAAAAGAAATCAAGCAGTAAAACTCTTAACCTACCCAGTGATTTATCAATCCTACCTCCCCCACTCAAGCACAAACCCCTCGTTTCAATTATTCATTTTACTGAAAGTAAAGTATATCCACTTAATTGTTACACTGACTGATTGAACTTAATCTGGTGCACATTAGGAAAACATGCAATAAGACCACAGGACACCTCCAGCATATCTTGCCTCAGTAATTATCTACCAAATCTAAGCTGGTATGCAGTGCATCACACAGATGTATCAATACCAGAGACTGGCAATGAGCTCAGCTACCACAAAGATGCACACAAAAAAATCAAACTCTAGAAAGGAACATGATAGTGAAATCAGTCACAATGAAGTCCATTATGTGAATATGCTGGGTCTTTTAAAATCAACATCAACATGACTAGCCTCCCTTTTCCTTAAAAGCAGATAGTTTATTTTTACCCAAACTATTTCCACCAACAGCAAGACAAAAGATTCCAGGTTAGGTTTTGCAAAGCATCCTGGAGCCCCTGCCTCAGAAAGTGTATGAGTTGAAACATCCAAAGGTCCCAGAAAACCAGGTTTCTTTGGCTGGTTCCAAAATAATCCACATAAACACAAGGACGGTTTTTGCTCAAGTAGCTTCGGTGGCCTAACAAGGTTACCAAACGTGTTGCCATCATCTCTTGCAAATATTAGAAAATCCTGGTATGCTTATAGAGAAAGCCAGGAACAGGGAAGTCCCTCTTATCTAAAGGTGAGGATGAAGAAGATACTTTCCATAGCCACTATCCTCTGGCCTAATCTGACCAAAGGCACACAAGTCTAAAACCACGAATGAAAACAGACATCAAGAATAGATTATACATACCAGAGCAGCAGCTTTCAGTGGGATGGAAAACATTTTTTTTCCCCAAAAAGCTTTTTACTCTTAAGGGGAAAGTAACATGGCATTAACACAGAATCAAGAAACCACAAGTTCCAAAGTGAAAATAATTAAGCTTTTTGTGTGATCTAACAATATCTAAATGTCTGAAGAGCCTCTATCTATGAGCAATTATCTACAGAAATGCTAACAACTCTCTTGGATGCTACCAGATGACTGCACTGAAAACAGTAAAGATACTTCTAAATTCTAGCACAAGCCACTAAATGAACCATTTCCCATGGAGCAACATCCTGGGCTTAGCAATAAACCTGGCACAACCTCCAAAAGCCTCCTTTCTGACATCCCTAGGACATGCTTCATGGTGAGCAAACCTAGTACAGCTTAGAAAAGTCAAACAAAATCAGTTTTTTACTGATTTCTTTAAAACCCTAGAGAACAGGAAGAATTCAGCTTCACAGAAGGCCTGACCTCAGTCATACCTCTGAACTGGCCAGGAAGCTATTACCCCCGGCTTAGCCTGAATTTTGGGATACTGTATAGCAGACAGAGCACTATAAAGGATATATTTCACTAACAAACTTTTCCTCTGTGTTGAAAGGTGAGATTCTTCTATACAAAAGACTTTCTCATAGAGTTTTATTTAAGGTCTCTAACTTTCAAGTGACTTTTAGTTCCTTTCTTGAGGAAGCTACAAGAAGCTTTAAAGCCTTATTTATCCAATCTTTATGACCCTTTTACAGGAATACCTACTCAGAAAGCAAGACAACCTTTTGAATGCAAGGTCAGAGGTTGGGGATTTGACAGGGGAGAAGAAAGCAACCAGGCCCACCCAGTCATTCTGTGTGTGGTGAATATCCTTCAAGCTGAATTTCTGCTTTGAAAAATGTAATTATCCAAAACTTTAATAGCCCCCCCCCCCTTTAAGAGAAAGATACATTTATTATTTAATCAAGCACTAGGAAAGCTTCAGACTACATATACACCACTTATTACACCAGTATTGCCACATGCCAGGTTCCTTTGTTACTCGTGGTAACGAATCCCACAGTTTTATCAGACGAAGAAATTTGAATGTAGGCTGTCATTCCAGAAGTGACACACTACAGATAGCACAGGCAATCCACACTAAATACGTGGCAATAATAGTATTTTCTTAACTCTTCAGCCTAGTTTTTATGGTTAATTACATTAACTTTAGTTCAAGCAACCCCCAAAAAGCTATCAATTTGGTTTCATTACACACACCACAATTTGGAGGCATACCCTCGAGTGATATTAAACACTCAGAATTTAACGGCACTGGCAAAATCCTGTTGTTGTTTACTCTCAGGTGAGCAGGACTGTCAGAGGGACTACACACACAGAATAACGCACTTACACCAAAAGTTATAAGCTTCCAGTGCATCCTCTCAAAAGTACTGATCTACTTTAATTGCCTGCGCTTGCTGAAGTGAACAGTAGCAAGTCCGAAACCTTTAGAAACACAGCCTATATAAATTAAGCCTATTAAGTATATTTAGTAGCAAGAACATCTTTAAGGTATTTGATATGAGCTGTTACAGGCCAAAAATTACAAACTGTCTTGAATGATGCATCAAATACCCTTACAAGGTCAAGATTCAGACCACATTCCCATAATCCTTGCCCCCATCTTGGTCAAGTTTAAATGGATTTAGAATCAATTTAATTACACTTGATGTTTACTGGCTATTTTTAGTATACCACATTACATGAAGATTAGGTCTCTAAAATAACATTCCTTAAGCTCAAATGCTTCATTCCACCTTTTTAATTCAATTAAAGTTTCTTTAAAAAAAAAAAAAAAAAAAAAGGAGAAATCTTGAATTGTTGGTGCTTGGTTATCAGACTCGGTGGGACAAGTTAACTGTACAAGTGTACTAGAAAATAAAAATGTACCTTTCCACTCTCATGTATTGTCAGTGGTTAAAAAAATTGAAAATAAAAAAAAGTTTTCACAACACACTGTTCATATACATTATGTTTTATAAAAACAAATCATCAATTAAAGAGTAAATGAAAAGATTTTTTTGAATTAAGTTCAGTGTGTGAAATGATAATTCCCCTCAAACACACTTCCAAAAGTGTAGTTTAATTAATTTAATAGTAATTTTTACCTTTTTTTTTTAAAGGGAGGATGTTTATTATTAATATTATTATAATGTTGCAAACTGTCTTTTCCTGTAAGAGCTACAGAAGCGTGAGCTCTAGAACAGGTTCTCTTCCACACCATAAAGCCCCAAATAAAATATGTCTGTAGCTTTAAATTAGGACACACACTCTAGATGACCTGTGCACTAAAATATGCACATTAGCATTACCTGCCATTTAAAATTAATGTTATGCATGTATCTGCTATTTTTCTTTCTTGTAATGTCTCGTGGCTTTTATCATCAAGATGTTATCAGTATCTTAAATCCAGGCTTTTGCAAGTGTCTTTTCAAAAACACCCTGAAGTAAGTAAACAAACTGCTTTCTGGGGGAGCCTCCCATGCCAATATTTAGGGATGGAAAAAGCAAAAGACACAACCAAAAACCACAATACAAGAGAAAACGTTGGCATGCAAGATAGACACATTGTCAGGGTAAAAACAACCAAACAACAAACCACCAAAACAAAAAACAACCAAAAAACCAAAACCAAACCCAAATTTTCCTAAAGCAGAAATAATTTCCTCCCATACTGCTACCACAACAAATACAGAAGCCTTTCCCAAAAGGAATAAAGGATCTGAAAAATGAGCGTAAGATCTTCTATTCAGGCAAGACTAGGAAATACAGAATGATGCGAATGGAGGCCTCAAAGTCTTCCTCTTGAGACACTTCTGTCAGTAACAGAAATATTTGTCCTGAATTTCCAGCTCAATCATTTCAGGATGGTATTTAACATATTGCAAAATACAAGTCACTTAAATACACCAGAAGCTGAATCACTGAGAAACTAGATTACATCTGAAAATGGGAAAAGACATATGCAATATATTGACTTTTCAGGAATTTCAAGTCTGGACAAAACAGGGATGGGAGATGAAGAGTAAAAATGAGTACAGGAATATGTTTGCCTTTTATGTAATAGTCTCCTGGGTGACGACAAAATTACATCTGTTTGAAAATTTTAGATTAAAGAAATATTTTCTTTATGCTTAACCTTCTTTATGGATTGCTAAGAGACACAAAACTGGCTTTGCACCACCTTCTGATTTTAGGATTTACCAAATCACCTGAAAAAAAGAGAGGAATGTATTGGGAAGGTAAGGGGTAGGGAAGATGGGGAGGAATATTAAACTTTGAAAACAGACCTAGAATTTTCCTGCGCGTATTTTCTTCTTGGCAACTTCTATTAAGCAGCAAATAAAATTACATCATATCCATGAAGGGGAAAAAACAGCTTTCTTAAGAGATAAATCTGTAACATGCCATATTATAAATGAAGATTCAAAAACTCTAGCTTGTATCTGAATGAAATCCCAAACTAGGCTTGTGTAAAGTGGGTGTTTGGGGAAGTAGTTTACAAACAGAAGTTAACTGAAAAGGTTCCTTCAGGCTTGCAGACATTGAAGAAGCCTAGTGAGGATCCTCTAGCAGCCTACAGGCTGATGAATAAGCCAGAGGGAAGCTCATATGTAAAATACTCCCACCCAGTTTTGGCACAGTCTTACTGACAAACCTAAACAGGAAAATCCCGAGCTGCAGTTTAATCAGCACACTGCACCTTTAGATAACATTTAAATGATGTCCCTCAAGAATCAGTAATTTCTTCTACACAAGAACTTCAAGCTTGCTACAATGCTGTTTTCCTTGACTTACGAGGTTAAAGTCTAGAAAAAGGGAGAAGAGTGGAAAGAGCTGTTGAAAAAAAATTGCTTCAGGCAGAAGGAAAACCAGATACTTTAAAAAAAAAAAAAATCAACTTTCTGCCATACTGAAATTAGAGAGATGTGCCTTTCAGCAACTGGAGAATAGGTATATCCTGGCTCAGGTACTCCAACTGCTGTACCTGAGCCAGTTTTGAACAGGTAACTTTGGTTCACTGGGTGCTAAATGTGGAGCATTTACCCAGCCTCCGGATCTGGCTTTCCTGAACACTACAGTGCTATGCTTGCACTGATACTGGTATTCAAGCTAGCTAGTCTAAAGTTAACAAATGTATATCCGTGTAAGGAATAGCCACACTTCACTGCAATATATACATGCACCAGGCCATGGAACATGAAGATAAGTCATTGCGGAACCCCTCAGAGGGTCTTAGCTGCATCCAGCCACATGTGAAAACTGATTCTGTTCACAGCAACTTTGTATCTGATGAGTTTCTGGTAAATTATTACTAATGCGTATAAAGCTGTTGTATGCATGTATTGCCCATCTATATTCAAGTGAATAAGCCTCAAAGAAAGTAAACCTGGCTGAAACTGTAAAAGATCTGACTGAAAAAATTAAAGTTAAAAATCTTGCTCAAGTAAACTTCTAAAAGTATACTTTAATAATTTCTAAAAGACATACCAGATCTTATAAAAGAGCTGTCATCTGTCAGACAAAAATTAAGTGTAATCTGACCATCACAGCAGTAATTAAAACATTGAAATGAAGTATTATGGGATCTGTTGCTCACTCTAAAGCAGAATGCTCGTTTCCAGTATGGTTGTATTTTCAGAGATGCCTCCCAATTTAAGAACCATGGCTCAACTGACAGGAAAGTCACAATAATAGAGCGCTAGGAATAAAGAATACTGAGGAGAAGAGAGTTAGATTTTCATTAACTACTCCCTTTTCCTATGTTTAAGCTTAGTACCTTTGCTGTCACATATCTGTCCATGCTAAAAAGGAAGTTCTTATCCCCAAAATATTTTTCTGGTTACTGTCTGGAAATCTGGAAAAACCTGATATAGCAATCAGTGACTATTATAATGCCTTTCATATTCAACATTCAATAACTCAGACAAGCTTGACAAGTACATATTTCAACAACAGCTATGATTATAGGTTTCATACATATCAGAGATGCATACTGTACATACCTCTTGCGCTAGTTCTTGTGCATTGGAGATGAGAGGATATGGAGGGCTGGCTTTGTTCATGTGCACTGTAACAGCATTGTGTATCTTAAATGCATTCTGAAAATCAGTATTTTGAACAAGCTGTAAAATGAGAGAGATATCCTCTTGGCTCTGAGGGTCTACCAAAACGTGCTGGATATGCTTAAGAGAAGTTAACAGTTCTTCCACTTCTAGGTAGGAAATAACAAAATACAAATAAGGTATGAGTTAACAAGATTCATAATTAATGTTGATATTAAGATTTTTACCAAAAATTTTTTTTGCTGTTCACTTTTTAATCAGCAATGATGTATGCAAATGTTTAGTTACCCATTATTCACTCTGACTTTTATTAGCAGAACATATCTGAATCAAAAAGAGGACCCCAAGTTGGTAAAAGGAGAAATAAAAAAGCTAATACACTCTTTAAATTTAAATTCCTATTGCAGGAGCAGTTCTTCTCTGAAAGAAATCACTGATACGTAAAAGATCCAATAACGGCAGCTCATGTATAGCTAAATGGGAATGAAGGCCTATTTTGCAATATGAAAATAACTCCTTTGCTAAACTAATGTTGATGCACTGAATATTCTCCGTTATTTTGATACATCTTTCCATGTGTATCTGCCACATATGGCAGATATGTATGTGTATCTCAACTAAATATTGCTTACTTACAGAATGATTGTTTGATAAGTAAACTACACTCAATTTCTAAACATAAAATTATGCTCAGCCTTAGCACATTAAAATAAAAAGGTAAGGATGAAGAAAAAAAAAAACCAAAAACAAAAAACCAAACCATCTATGGTCAGAGTTCTGAAGGTCATCTGCACCAGAAGAAAGTTCACGTCTTTTACCTACAAGATTATGAGTTCTGCTTGGACCATAAAAGAATTTTAGCATATTTTAATAACCAGTTTCTAAATGTTTGCAGAATACTATATATGTACTACATTCTTGAGCTTCAAGAACTAATCTGATACTTTAGGGGTGCTTTTTAAAGACTTTCAAAAGATTTACATTTTTTTAAACAAATCTGAATTTCTGCAAAATGTCACTTCTCAATATTAAATACTTGTGAGGCTACCTAAAACAAGGAATATGAATCATACCTATACTGCATATAAATGCAGGTAAGAAACGCTCAAGCAGACCAAAAAAAACAGCGGATGTTTTGAGCCTGAAATAATATATGCATTCTCACACATTATCAAAAAACGTCTGTTCAGCCACAATTGGCTGGTCGGCTATCTTTTATTTGAATAAATTCAAGTAAGCTAGAATTTTGAATCCTGGTATTTTAAAAAATGAACAACAAAGAAAATCCCAAATTTTAAAACTGTCAGTTGATACTGAGGTCAATCTCCTTTACTGGTATAAAAATATCAGCTTTGAGAATTATTTTTAAGTTTTAGCCACCATCATTTATTCATTATGAGCTAATTAAATTAACACTAAAACAGGAATGCTATCAAGACATCAGCTAATTTGCATTTTTAACATGAAAAATCACAGTAGATACTGATCACTAACACACGGATTTGTTCTGTCAAGAAGTTTCCTTTACCTATTTTGAACCTGAAATTCACCAGTACACTGAACACAATGCTAGACTCAAACTTGTTGAGCACAAGATTAAAATGGTTGATAAACGGGCACATGAAAACCATAAAGCCTAATAAAATATGCATTTCAAACAAGTTTAGTGGCTTTCATTTTGGACAAAGCATACCTACATACATGTTTTCAATTTTGAGTTTGCAAGTCAGTCTTCTGTATAATAAAAGGAAATAAACAATCCAGAGCTAATACTCTTGTACTTTACTGTCTGCAGGACAATAAAAAAAATAATAAAAAAAACCCTACAAAACCATTCCACACATGCTAAAAACATCCTACCCACCAAAGGTCAAGGGCTTCTTCCTGTAACCACCAAGGAAACAAAGGGCAGTAGTACAAAAGCTGTATGGAAAGCTCGATACCGGCTGTGCAGGATATTCCACAGGTGAAATCCAGTACAGCTCACAACACTAATTAAGGCAGCCAATGTCTCACTAGGAAACTGTATACACAATATACTGCCTATCACACAGGAGGAAATGACATTTGGAGAGAAGGCTAAAGAACACTCCACAAGCAAGAATATTTGCTAAACAGGACATTGTCAGCTGGCAAATGTCTTGCCTAGTGGGGAATGCAGACTACGAAAAAAAAAAGTAGTGTAAACCAGTCAGATGTTATTGTAAAGTTCCTACCGATACCTGTTCAGTTAAAAAACACACCAACCCAAAATTCTGCTATTTGTTACTGTTACCAGATTCAAAAACCAGTGAGGCATTAAAGAAGAACCTAACATCTAACTCTTCCTATGCATAACTATTTTATTCAATTATTTCTGAATTATCTATACCCCCTTATATATCTGAGAATTCAAATACATACACACATATGTACACACACAATTCTCTCATACATATTCCATAGAAGATATAAATACATATAGAAAGATAGACATCTTTTTATCTATAATAAAGATGTCCTGTTCCTAGATACCTCTACATATTCTCTTTTCAGCACTTTCCTAGTTCCTTCTGTGTCACCCTTTCTCACAAACTACCACAGTACTCTCCTCCCCACATAATTCCCTTCTACAATGAATCTTAATCTGTGCTGGATGCAAAAGCCCTATACCAAACGATTCCCCCCACCATGAAACAGCAAAGAAATACACTCCTCATCATGATTCTAAAAGAGAAATAATGCTTGAAAGGAGTGAAATAAAATATTCCCCAAAAGCTAGCAATCCATTTCCTAGTCACTTGTTTAATAAAAAACCCATACACATAAAACCACATACAAATCTGCCTTTATGCATGCCTAATTCTTTCTAGGTTCCTGTTTCTGAATTCTAAATCACAGATTAGATTTCAGTGCAGGGTTTTTTTGCTTGGTTTGGTCTTTTTTAAAAAAAAACATAAATGCCAGGTAACAAAAGACTCCATCTCTAGACATTTCCTATTGAAAGGGTTGTCTGGAGGGGAAAAAAGTTCAGTAAAAGACTAACATCTGCATTTACTCACAGAAAATTGTCAGGGTTCTTTTGCAGAACAAGTCCATTTTTTAATCGCAGATCAATTAGCAATCGACCACTTTTTTTTAAAGTCTTCTTTTACAAGAAGCGTTGCAGCCTTTTTTCCATTAGGCTATGAAATGGCTGGAATGTGACTGAGCACTGTGCGATATACACATTAATCAAAAGACTGCTGGGGCAAAAGTATGCAACTGCAGGGGAGGACCCATGGTCACAGCTTAACATGTTAGATTAGAAAAAGAAGGAAAGAAAACAGTTGCTGTTTATCACCTTAAACAAAAAGCTATGAACAGCAAACTTAAGAAGACATATTTTGCTTTATTATATGTCAGCACCAATATCTCAATTCCCAAGCTTTTTTATAGATCTCTAGAGTACTCTGTGTGCTGGTACTAGCACTCTAATGCTCCATATAGTACTTGAATCACAGGGCTAAGAAAGTATTGTTGTATCCAAAACTATTTCTGAAAGTTTATTTAGAACATTTTTAAACAAGTTTTGCCCAAGGTATAAAAACAAAAAATAGGCGGCTTTTCCCCTAAAAAAAATAAATTTCACTGTAGCCACAAAAGGTTTACTTACATGAAACATCAGTAACTTGTTTAACTAAATAAATTAACTGAATGAACTGTAGCAAACAAAAATTTCTGCATTTTATAGAAACATACTGCTGTGAAAAAGCCAGTTAAATACTTAGACGCATATGTTCTAGGTGCACAGAAAGTTATTTCCATTCACACAGCTGTCTAAATCATATACTGTTTTGATAACAAACATGGCCTTTAAAATTGTATTAAGTGTCCTGTTTTGTTTTTATAAATAAAATTAAGTTTGTTTAATCTAGTCTGCTTTTTTTTTAAAAAAAAGATGAAAAGATTAAAGACTTCGGAACAATCTGCCAAATTAGACATTGGCACTTCTGAAACATTTTCAAAACTAAAAATACAGACAATCAGGTCAATATTCTTATTTAAAACACGTATCTTTAGCAGAGGCTTTATGGATTAACACACCAAAAAAACCCCGGTACCTACAAAAAAGCAAAACTAAAATCAATATTTTAAAAAAGACTGAATAAGGGTAGTTTAAAATCTTTATAATTCACTAGCACCTGCCCAGTTTTATTTGGGGTTCTCCTAACAAAGCTTACAGATTTGTGAAAGTGACTAAGCACTCTCACCTGGACAGCAAAAGTGGAAAGATGGAGAGTCAGGAGCAGCGTAGATCAGAAATTCAGTATAACCAAACAGACAAACTGTAAAAATGTCACATACTAACAGTGATTTTTTAGACAAAGTCATGGGCTAGCAAGTTTTCTGGAGACCAAAAAGTTGTATTGTAAATTTTAAAAAATCTGGCCTCTCCAACTCAGGTATTCAATAAAAATGCAGAAGTATTAACGATAATGGACTCAAATCCTCTCTATGAAACTGTATTATTTTGTAAATGTGCATATGTGTGTGTATATTCATAAGGCAACATCCTCAGTCCTGAAACTAACCAGGAACAGACAACTTTCAGAATTAAAAAAAAAATACATTCTTTTGAAATTCAGCCAAAGTGTCAGATGTTAGAATGATTAATCCAGAAACTGGAAAAAGGACATGCTTAATAGTGGAGGAAAATTCTGGAAAAGCCAAGCTACTGCAGAAGCACTTTGTTAAATTTAAAATTGTGACTCAGTTTTTGACAGCACTAATGACTGAAGAGTTTCTTTATGGACTATACAGGTTAAGAGATCACAGCATTTCATTTAGAACTTATTTTTTTAAGTTCTTTTATACTCAACTGTGATGTTGAGCTGTTGCAATTGAAAGCACCACTCTTAAATCCTCTTCTCTTAAATCTTAAGTCTATAATTGTTACTATAATTCTGTCTGGCAAGGAAATAACGGTAGTATGTTTGCATGCCTGTCAATATTATGTCATGACTTCTTTGATTGAAATACATGCCTATGAAGCCCTAATTCAGCTTGCTGGTGCATACATGGATATATCATGTTTTAGTCCAATTACATCTCCTAAAGCTCCTTGCCTTTCTAGCTCAAAGAACAGACCATATTCACTCAGCAAGCTAGTCAATACTTCTGCGCTATGCACATACTTTTAAGCCTTATTTACTGCAATTCAGAGTAGAGACAGACATCATTAGTTTTCTGATTTTCATGGTATCCAAACACTGAGGAGAATAGCTTTAGTTAAATCATGCAATTTACTACTGTGCTTTTACAGAAATATGCTAACAGCAGAACAATGACAAGACCCAAGCTTCAATTACAAAAGCGAAGAGGAGTTTGTCCTCATGGACAAAATCATCTAGTAATTTCCCTTCAAGATTTATCTCCTTCCACATACACACCTCTATACTCTTGTGTTTGGTGTTTTTCTTCTTACATCAAGTATTCACACAATCCTAGCTTCCATTCGCACCAATTTCCCCCCTTTTCTTCTGGCTGAGCCAAACCTAGTTTCCTCCTTCCAGCTTTTCACAAATATTGTCCTCCTCTGACAATCTCTCAGCTTCCCCCACAGCCTGTACCCATTTCATCCCCACACTGAGAGATTTTCAAAATAGCCTTTCATCATCACAGTAATTTCTCCACCATTGTCTCTCCTGTTCCAACACCTTCAGTCTACCCCAGCTCCTTACTGGTTGGTTCTCAGGCTTCTCAGACCCATATTTATTACTTATTTCTCTCGTTCCTACTGGCTTCCATGCCTAGCTGCTTTGCCCATCGGTTTCCACCTAGCCCCCCTCCAAGTTCTCAGCAATCTCTGGCATAAAACCTAGCCTCAGCTTTCTAATTCCAAGTCACACTCTCTCCTCCCTTCTGTAGTTCCAATTCCCAGTTCCTCCTGTAGCTAGTCTTCAGAGCTTTTAGTCACTGCGGCTAAGCAAGTCCCAACGGAAGTCACTTCTACTGTTTGATGTCAATCTTCACATCTGCTTTGTGTTCTCTCTAAGGAGACAATTTCACAATCAAATATCTAACACTTCTTGAAGTACAGAATCTGGTGCTTACAGAGATGTCTTGGACAGAAGCTGACAAGCCCTGCACAAGAACAAGGTACACCTGCCTTGTTTGTAACTGACCCCACTTTAAGCAGGAGGTTGGACGGGATGAATTCCCAAAGACCCTTTCAACCTAAATTTTCCTGAAGAGGGATTTGTACAATAAGGATTACCAGAGTTTGTGGAATAGAGCCATATCTTTAGCAGAAATGTTGCTCAAGCACACAAATACTAAAGATGAAGCAAAAAAAAAAATTAGCAATTTGACAGCTGTTTTTCACTCTGTGTTCTCAACTACCAGCCAACAGGAAAGAATAGCAAGAATCTTTAGTGCAGCCCAAAAAAATGGCACCTTTTTAAAGCAGTCTGGATCTCAGAACAGGTATAGATTTGGAAATCTGGACTCCCACAAATTCCCAGTGCCTCTTTTTCACTTCAGTGATACACCACACTTTAGATAGATAGACACTTATGTTTGAGGAAGAAAGGTTGGAAACTTTTTCTATGCAAGCATAGTCAAAGCAATGACAGCTACGAAATGAACAATTTCAGAATCTATTTCTTCAAAAATTACTAACATTAAATTTTCATCAATGTCTAATTGCCAAGGTAAGCAGATTTTCATTACCAATGCCAGTACTTTAAGAGAAAATGTAAATTATATTAGGTGATAACTGATAATGCAAGACACCCACAATAAGAAGAAATCACCAGCACGCTTCTCCTTAAAATATTAAAAACTCTTGCATTTTGATTTTAAATGGCAATAAGTGTTTATTCATTGCTTATTCTGGTCTGTTCTTCACCAGACATAATAAAATTGTCTATTACTTCCATGATTTTCCCCAGCCTAAAGAGGATGGCAACATCCACTGAATTCATTAGTTACCTACAGGGTATTTAACTGTTCCCCAAATAGATCAGTTTTGAAAAGCCACTTGCTGAAGCACATAGCCTGGTGCTTGGCTAAATAAATAAAGTCCAAACCAACAGAAATCCAAAGGACCAGAAGACTTTAAATCTGTATAGGAAGAATTAGCTAAATTACGTTTTCAGTGGCCTAAAAGAACATCAATATCAACTAAATATTTTCTCCATTAGCCTATTCATTGCATTTTACCTACCTAGTGTCTTCACAGTGTAATGAGGACTCTCCAAAACAATTCCTTCTTCTGTGTCAAATATTGGATTATCTATTCCAGTTTTAGGAGGAATTTGTGCTAGTTTCTTTAGCCTCATGGAAGCAGTAAGGTCCAGTTCTTGTTTCTTTCCCTCTTCCTCCCGTCTGCGCCTTATGTCCTCCTGCTGCTGACGGATTCGCTCAAGCTGAGCGCTCCGCCGCATGGGCATCATCCTGGAGCCCAAATCCCCAGGGCAATCAACAGCCATTTCTCTGTGCTTCTGAGATTCCTCAGGAGATGCAAGATCCACATTTTTTGCTTCACTGTCAGAATCTTCTGTGATATGTCCATTCATATGAGAAGTTGTCATGATTATTTGTAATTATGCTTGTTCTCTTCAAACAGAAATGCTGTTATTAGGCCAGTTTTTGTTATGATGTTGTGTAAAATCCATTATAACTTCAAAAGTATTTCCCTTCCATCACTGAAGAAGCTGAAGAAACATTCAGGAAGAAAACCTAATGAAAGATATTCAAAAGAAGCTAGTGAATAACTGCCTTAATAAGAAAACACCTAAGACAGTTCTCCAGGTCCCCAGGCATCAGAACAATGGAACTTTTCCTCCACATTCACACAGTGCTTCTTCCCCTGCTAAGAACTACAGAATCCTCACAAATCTGTTTCACACATTATAGTAAACTTCACATGCCTATGTTAGAAAACCAGTACTGTTCAAACTAATGCTAAAGTCTCTTATATTTCCCAGTCAAAGCAGTGGAGATTCTGCACTTAACACACACAACTGCAAATCAGTTTTCTGAAAGTTCCCACTACCTTTTAATTTATTATTTCATTCTTAAGAATTCCCCGCACAAACCATGCTTATGATCCTACAAACACTAAATATGAATAACTTGTTATAAACAACATGTTCACAAGAAGTTTAATAAGTAAAAATATTCACATTTATTGTTCATAAATTGAGGCATTTTTACATAAACATTGCTTCCCAGCTTCAGAGAAGACAGGTCTGGCACAGAGTTCTTCCAAAAGATACTATCTAAAGCAGTCTGGAGCTGCACTTTACACAATTCCAAGTACGGATAAAGTCCTAGGATAAGGGTCAGACAGTTCTGGTTAGCAGCTATCCTTAATACTTCCTACAGGTATGCATTAAAGCAGAAAGCATTAAATACAAGAGTAAAAATCCTTCTGTGGGTATACAGCAGTACAGATTTGACAGAGAACAATAATTAATTTCCATAGTCAAGTAGTGATATTCGGCTATATGCCTTACACCTTACTCTGTTTTCTCATTCCTGATGATTCAGGCTAAAGAACTTAAGTGTCCTGATAAATATAACCACTCGGCTCTTAAATATAACACATACAACAATGTGTTTCATACCACGCTGCCTTTCTGTATCACAAAGCCAAATGATACATTATCCTCAATATGTCCCATTAAAAGGTCATAAAATTAATAAACAGTTGTGATGGTATTACCAATATGCATAACTTTTCAAGTTCCTTTTTATAATTTTTTTTTGATTTACTGAAAGGAAATACTACAGAATATCTCAAAGTTTTATTATACACTGGAAGCACCAAGACAAAAAAACCCAACAACTTTCTTAAACAAAATATTTGTGTTTGGAGGAGGAAGGGAAAGATGCTTATGTTGCAATTAAGTTGAAAATTAAATATCAATAGTGCTGTTTTGGAGGAGCAGCAATAGAAACTCCTACACAAGTTTCTGCCAGCTTGCAATTCTAAATAAGTACAGCTTTTCATTTTCATAAGGGGTGGTATACAGCTACACACAGCAACACCAAAACAATTTCACTTGTTTCCTGTCTAGCCGCTACTACCAGTTGTTACTAAGATCTTCCAAGTAAATATTAAAGCATTTCTATGACAGTAAAAATTCTTTTCTGCCTTTAAAAGATACTTAATTGCACTGCACTGGTATGTAAAAATTATTTCAATGCTCAAAGTTCCCACAGTCAGAAAAAATTCAGGCAACAAAAGCAGCCCATCAAAAGCTGCACAGTAGTGGGGCTAGCACTGCGAGTACCACACAATTATTTGGTGCCTGTAAAACTTTCAGTTAGTGCCCAACTTAAAAAGAACAGCTTTGCAAAGAATAAAGTCACACTGAAGTTAGCATTCAGACAGGGTTATATAAAGCACCATATCAAAAAAAGGTGTCTGAAATTCAGAGAAAGGCAGATAACAATTTACCAAAATGATCCTCGGAAAGCCACGTTTCCCCTTCTGTAAAGGCAACTTCACTGTACAGAAATGCCAATCCCAAAAAAGGAAGTCTCACTGGGTACAATAAAATTGCAAGGAGTTCTGATTTAACGGTGGGTGGAAGATGTTTCAAGTTCTCTTTCCTCCACATTGTACTGGCCACAGCTTGTCTGAAGACTGAGCCTTTTGAAAGTTACATTCATCTTTTTTCAACTCTGACAAGCTGAAAGAAAACTCACATTCCTCAGTCCATATGGTACAACTAACAGGTGTCGAAATAACTTGAGGGAATGAATAATATCCATTTACTCAGCACTAAAGAAGTCAAAACCACTACCTGAGGACATGCAAGAAGTAAAATGAAACTCTAAAAGATACCATCGTAACAATCACGTGTAAGATAAATAACGTCACACTCACTAAAGATAAAGAATCTACACATCAGAAAATGAAGTTGATGGCAAATATTTAATAACCAGTAAAAAATATTTAAGGTGGGATTAGCTATTTCCTCCATCCAATTTAAAAGTACTGGCTATCTAAGACAAAGAGCATCTTTGAGGTTAAGTCAGAAAAAGGGTGCAACAAAACCTCACATATCTGTATATAGCATGAGAAGTTTTTAAATCTCTCTAGTTTAGTAATAAGCACTGAAGACCAGAGAAACAAAAATATAGTCTGAGGTAAATACTAGTAATAGGCAACCATTAGTAACATTGCTTAGATTTTCAGCATAAGCTCCATGCAAGATGCAAAGGGCATATAAATTCTGGAAACAGAGTTACTGAGACATTTAAGTGGCCTGTGCTAATAGCTGCTCACTTTCAGTGTTTCAGATCCGACTTAAATCAGTTAAAGAAACAAAAGTTACAGAAAATGAGTTCTCCTGCAGTCACACTTTAACAGCAGTATTCAGAAAACTGGCATCAAAATTTAAGAGAGTTTTAGGAGAATTTTAAATAGGAAGTATTTTTGATATCCCAGAAAGTTAGATGTGTCTGAAGCAAGCAATAAGCAGTACAGCCAAAGCAATCACAGTCAGATAATACAAAAGATGATATGAAATATCACTTATCAGGAAGCCTAAAATTTGACACTACTGAAATAGCAAACCCACTCCACAAAAACCCGAGCCCCCAGATATAACTAGTTGGCATCCATAAAAAGCATAGGCATGCTGCAAGTCTGGAATGCTGGAGCAACTTCCTTTAATCAAAGAACTTCTGATAATGGGTGACTCCTTCCAAACCTAAGCCCAGTGTTCTTTCTGCTGTCTCAAGTCTGTTTCAGACATCACAAACCCTCATCCCCAACAGTTCTGGAAAAATGCTACTGCCCAATTGCAACAAATGAAATAAGCACATAAGGAAAAAAAAAAATTAGATCAGCTCTGAAGTCCCTCTCTACAACGGTCCTAAGGAATTTAAAATGTGAAATACAACACTGATAAAATGTTAACCCAGTCCTCAAATTAAGGTGTGGTGTAGCTGAGGTTAAAAGTAAGATTCAGCTTGAGGCAGGCACCAGGAACAAAAAAATGTATTCTAACCAATAAGCATGGCATCAAAAGTCTTATGATGAATAATTTCAGAAACAATTTTTCTTGGCTTTTCTTTCTGAAGGTTTCTTTTGCAATTTTAAAAATCCCAAGATAACAATAAGGGAAGGTTGTTATACCAGGTCTGTTCTCTGCAAGTTGTGGATCACCCAATAAACCAGCTTTTCAGCCCAAGGGGAGCTGATTTTGTTACACTAATTCTTATACTAAGGAGGAGAATTTACAGACATACTCAATAACACTGATTTTTACTACAACATATGTAAAATATATAGAAAAATATTTGGAATTAACAGAATTCTTTTCCACTTTAGAACTTGGTATTATCAGTTTTTATACTTTTTAGGTATGTACAAGTCTCTCTGTGTTACGCAGAGTTTGGCTGCTCAAAGTTTAATAGGGTTAAATTGTGGCTCTGACTGTCTTCCTTTGAACTGCCGATATCTAACAGGGGAAGCTTAGCATTTCCACATGACACGTAGATCTTTCCAAATAAAGCAGATTTATGACTGTTTCTTGTCCAACTTCATATCACAAGTCTTACCAATACGGTCCTGGAAAGCACACGTGAAAGTCTCTTCTTCACAGATTAATGTTACTATTCAAACTTTTGCCCTGCAGAGGATGGTTTGTATAAACTGCTAACATAAGTACAGCTATTGAGAAAGAGCATTTCAGTCACTCCAGTCACCATCAGGCATCACACAAGAATTTCACTGTGAAGAAATTATGAACAGCAAACCAGCCATATTTCTGGTGCAAACTCAAAACAGCAACATTAAAGAAAAAAAACCCACAACTACTGTCTCGCTAACTGTATTTACCATTCTCAAAAATATTGTATTTTACAAGTCACACATCATTCTTCATACTGAACCCTAACAATGTCAGGCTTCTATCATCTCTTTAACTAAACAGACCCCAAAAGCTCTGTCAAAGAATAAACATACATAAATGCAATCATCTTGGTGTGCAAGACAGATGCTAGTATAAAATACATACTGACAGGGACAGAAACAGAAGTGCTTGTAAGGTGGTTTAAGTTTTCACTTGCTTCCTGGGGACTGTGGCTGGTGTGCATAGCAATCCTAATTTCTTTACCAACTAAATTCTGTACAGTAAAATGAAATTTGTTTTGCTTCAGCAACTTCCAAAGAACAAAAATGACATTTTCTGGAGGCTGAGGTTGTGTGTTACATTTCGTTGGTGTTTAAAATTCTTTCAGTGCTCGAAGTATGATTAGACTTGATAGTCCCCTTTTTAAAATTCATTAAAGCTGCAAATTCTGAATGACTGCAAAGTAGTTCAGCACTCACCTCCAGCTGAATTTCATTAGTTTTGGCACAGTTGAGAGTATAAAAGCCCAACCTCCATCTGTAATTATATTATAAACACAAGAAATAAATATTTAACATCAGACACAGGGCAAAGGATTTATCATCAGCTGAAAGCCATATACTATGACAGACACAGTATATTAAAATATTAATTAAAAACAACTGGAAGTGGAATTCTAGGTTGCTGAAGCAAATTAAAAGTTAGATTAAAATCACATACAAGATGCTTCCTGATATCTGAATTACTAACAAAATATGAGCATAAAATTATGCTAGCGATCTCTACCACGTATTATTAATGGCTCACATAACTGTCGGTCTTCTGGTATTTTTACTCAATACTTCAGATTTCTAAGCAAGCAAAAC